GGTGCTTTTTAGTATTTTTCCATTGGAGATAAGTAAATTAGAATTATCTGGAGTCTGTTGAGAATAATGGCCAAAAACAGATGACCCAACAGGTCTGGTCCATCAATATCTGGTTGAGCTAATTACTTTCTGGAATGACAGGGGGTAGTTGAGGCAGGAAAAAAGTACATCAGATTACAATATTAATGCCAAAATACTATACTTTTTTACTTTGATGAAACAAGATGATGGCAGCCTGTCACAAAGCACTAAGTGATATAATATAATTTTATAATAATTATTTGATGGACACCCTGGAAATGAAAACTACAGTTACATTTAATTTTGCTATTAGCTCACATTTAATAATACTTTAAGAACTAAGTATGCCTCTCAAATGGTAATAGTTACACATTAAGTGGCCTATCTAACACACCATAAGAAAATGATATCAAAAATATCACAGTCCAGCCAATTTTAAAAAATGCTAAACATATGCATTTTTACATTCTATTTGTAAATAGGTACTGATATCTTCTCAGATGGCCAGGTCCTTATAATAATGATTTTGGCATAGAATTCATGAGTAATTTAGGTTCTTAGCTAGAAAACAAAACACGGAAATGTAATTTTCGCCTCAGGAATTCATTTGTCGTCTTTGGCGAGAGCTTCTTAGACATTAGGAATAACGTGTTGCATCTAAGCCCATCAAGCAACACCTCTTTTGTATCTGGCACCAGCACTTTGGTTTCATTTGGGGAACTATTTCTTTTCCATCTTCGTGGCTCACGTGGGGTTAATTCTACTCTAAGGATGATTGTAGTCTGCCAGGGAGAGTGTTTAATTGGATCAAAGATTGGTATGTGATGTGCCCTAATCAAAACCCAGGAAAGCTGTGTTTCACTGGAAGTGCTGTGCTGGTAAAATTAGTCTGGAGCTTCCCACTACCTGAGGAGAGCATTTCTGAAAATGAAACCCATGCAAGAAAGAAGAGGCAGAGGATAGAGACAGCCTGGGGACCAAGTTTGAGCAACTGGATTAAGCTGTTCCTGAAGTCCAGAACATCCTTAGACTCTGTTTTATGAGTAGATGAATCTCCTTACCCCAACACACACGCGTGCGCGCGCGCGCGCACACACACACACACACACTCTGTAATTCTTTTTTTTTTTTTTTTTTGCATAAGCCAATTTCATTTGGATTTCTATCACTTGAAAACAGTCCCAGCTTATAAGTAACATACGTATTATGAAAATGCCTCACACATTACGGATGCCCAAGTCAATACTTACTAAATCTAAATTGCTAAAACCTTCCAGCTACAAAACTCTTTTGCTTTGAGGAGTCTTATCATACCTGCTGCCTATGAAGACAGCAAACTCACAGCCCACAAGGTCCTGATAGAAGTGCTTTCTTGGGTCATATTTTCCATGACTCAAATGATCCCTGGTACAATCCCAGCATATTAAGGTATTCACAGAACTTTGAGACATGTTCTGGGTGAGTTATTCCCTCCCTCCAAAGGCAATCTGAATACTAGGAATTAGTATCAGGTCTCTGAAGTCCATCTAGGTTATCAGAACAGAATTTACAGAAGGGTTTTTGAGTGTGTTATCCAGAACACTAACTGCAATGGGTGTCCATTGGAAAGGAAAAGAAAAAAAAAAAAAACTATCTACCTATCTCATATGGTCAAATGAGTTAAATTGGTGTTTTGTTTTGTTTTGGTTCACTACAGAACTTCTCAGAGCATTCATACCAGCAGGCATTGTGAGTTTTCAAGAGGGGCCACAATAGGCAATATTAGGTCATAGGGCCTGTTCTTTAATGCACTTGGGGTTCTGAGTAATGCAATTGGGGAGTGTCATACTCTAACATATATCTTTGTGCTATTCAGGCATAAATACCTGACTGACTTGGAAGAATTTACTCATCATATAAAATGGCAAGGGGAAGTCAGAGTCACACAGTAGGAGTATAGGGTTTGGAACCATCAAGACCCGTTTTCAAATTTAGCTCCATTGTTAGGTCTCCATGACCAAGAACAGCCATACTATCTTTCTCAATGGGAATGCCAAACTATGCAGGGGCGTCTGGGTGGCTCAGTCAGTTGAGCATCTGACTTCGGCTCAGGTCCTGATCTCGTGGTCTATGAGTTCGAGCCCCGCATCGGGCTCTGTGCTGACAGCTCGGAGCTCGGAGCCCGGAGCCTGCTTCGGATTCTGTGTCTCCTTCTCTCTCTGCCCCTCCCCCACTCATGCTCTGCCTGTCTCTCTCCGTCAAAAATAAATAAACGTTTAACAGTAATTAAAAAAAGAATGCCAAACTATGTAAAATAATTTTTAAAAAGCTACTTATCTTATTAAGCTGTTTGAAAGCCTGATGCCGGGAGAAATTATTCTAATGTCTGTAACTCAGACCCTAAGTTACACAAATGTACATTTGAACCCCACTCCAACCACTTACTAGCTATGCGACCAAATTACTCAACCCACCTAATTCTCCATTTCACCTTTTGTAACATGGAGTAGTATATTAATTACTTCATAGGACGTAGTAAATGAAGATAAAATGAAATGATGCCTATACAGTAAATATTGCACTACCCGCTCTTTGTACCACAATACCAATAGTTCTTAAGTTGAACAATATCAAATTACCTTTTGTAGGTTAAGAACCATTACATAGTAGTGATTCTTATGGTTCATCATTCAAGTATATGAAATTCCTGTGACAGTTTCTGGCAACTACACATCCTTTGTTTATCTGGTCAACCAATCAATATTTATTGAGTACTTTTTTTTTCTTTATAGCAGCATGTCATACCAAGGATAGGAAGGTGACTAAGACAGTTCTTGCCCTCGGTAATTACAGAGTAGACTGGAAAGCAAGCAATAATCCCTGTTTACTTTTTTCTTTTACTAAAAGTTAATGGCTAACTTCTTACTTTTTTTTCCCTGAATTTTTAACTTTGTTACTCTTTTCTTGAACCCATATGATAATGATCCTAAAACAAGGTGATGGAGGGGCGCCTGGGTGGCTCGGTCAGTTAAGCATCCGACTTCGGCTCAGGTCACGATCTCGCGGTCTGTGAGTTCGAGCCCCGTGTCGGGCTCTGTGCTGACTGCTCAGAGCCTGGAGCCTGTTTCAGATTCTGTGTCCCCCTCTCTCTCTGACCCTCCCCCGTTCATGCTCTGTCTCTCTCTGTCTCAAAAATAAATAAACGTTTAAAAAAAATTAAAAAAAACAACAACAAAAAAAACAAGGTGATGGAGAAGAATGAGAGAAGCACACATGGCTGGTATGGAAGTACCATGGAGAGGATTCAGGGGTGCCGAGTAATGGTGGCTATTAGTAGCCATGTACGAGGCCAGCAACTAGTTGGGCTCAAGATCTGCTTCATGCGTTAATTAATGAGTAACCTTCTATAAATTGCTCCAAATTACTTACTGCCAACCATAATACAAACATAAACGTGTTCGAGTTAGAGTACTCCGCTGAACACAGAACTGCAATTTTGCCATATTTCTTACATAGCAAAATAACAACCATTGCTCCCCAAAGAATGGCTGATTTAAAAATGCAGTGGATCTGGATTATGACAAGAGAACAGCTACTCCCTTGGTTCCTCCATATTATACTACCATCACGGAGATAAGACATTATATAACCATTTATTCCTAGTGATTAAGCCTGCATTCCAAGGCCTCTTTTGTATTTCTGCACTCTGAACGTGGGCACTGGTAAGCTGGTTCACTATACCATTTCCTTCCACTTTGATAGATCATGTTGACATATCCTGGGAAAATCTCACTTCCCTTCTAGTTAAAAGCTCCCACCAGCATGCCACAGGTATTTCAGGTTAGAAAATGAGTAGGTTTGGGACCAGCAATTATAGAAGGAAAAGGAATATAATCAGATCCTGGTGTGCAGATTGTTTTTTAAGCTCACAAATTCCCTCTTTCCGGTGTTTCAACTTTCAAAGGCTTATGGTAGTTTAAAGGCAATCCTCTTATAAATGTACAAATTGTAATGATTATAGGAACAAGTTGTAATTGTTTCTAGCAAGTTTTGAAGAGTCTTTGATGTTATGATTAGTGTTTTATATGTTAATATATTGATAGGGGTGCTTATTTGCTTGTTCCTTTGTACGCTTTTATGGTTTCTAGGTTCACTGTGCAAATAAATCTTTGATCTCAGTAGGTCTATTTGGTTAAAAAAGAAAGCTAAAAGAAATTAAACATGCGAAGCCCAAGGTTTTGCAATATTTACGAAGAAGCACGATTAGGGATTTCTCTGTAAGAGTACAGAGCTGGGGCCCACGACCTGAAGGTGGAGAAAAGTGCCCCGAATGACACCACACACGAACAGGGGACTGCGCTGGGGAGTGCCATCCCGGAACTTGGGCTCCTTTGTAGCCAGGGTGTATCTATATGACGGCAGTCTGGGCTGATGCCACACTGAGCAAATCAAAGGCAAAGCACTGCAAGCCATCGGCTTCCTCTTTCCCATTTGCCTTCTGCCCTTCAGAAATCACCATGGGGAAGAATTCTCTGTCTTTGCAATGGTTTCATTTTCAGCTATCCCCATCATGAGTGATTTCAAGACAGCGTCTGGAATGCAATGCCTCCTGGAGCATGCACCTTGACACGAATTGCTAAGTTTCAAAGGAATTTGCTTTCTGTAGATAATGTCTAAGAGAGAGGGACCTGGGATTTCATCAAACTGGCTATCAATAAAGCTAACAGCAAGGAAGGCTCAGTCACACCACTCAAATGCAGGGTTAGGTAAATGTGTGCAGTGCTAAGTAATTAATGGTATAACACTTTCTGTCATGTTTTGTACAGAAAAAGCCCAGTAGGCTTTGCTGACAACACAGGTTAGAGAGATTCAGGAGGGAAAAAGGAAGAGAGGGGATCAAATGTCACTTTGCATTCTCATTCCCCGCTCACTGGGTGCTGTTGTGCAACGCTCAGGTTCCAAAACTTGCAAAGAGAGAGGGAAATGATTCCTGCATTTACCTTTGCTGTACACAATGCAGTTGTTTTTGTTGTCTTCTACTCCTTGCCAAGTCACATCCAGTAGCCACTTGGGACCAGCAGTCAGCACCATTGGGACCTGAGCCTTTGTCTTCTGTAGAAAGAATGATAACAAACAGATGCCATTTGCTTTCGTTGATTAAAAACTTGAATAATAACTGTACTAATCATTTTATTTTTACAAACAACTAAATCTCCCAAACCATAATCCACGTCCTTATTCCCCTGTCTCATAATATCTTTTTAAGATGACAGAAGCTGTAAGGCTTCACTGCTTTCACTAATCTGAATGGTAGAATTATTATCAAGGATTTTTTTTTTTTCCCTAAATGATACTGGATCAGATCTCCAAGATCAGACAGATCTCTTGCGGCTCTGAATTATAAAGAGAATGCAGATGACTTTCATTGCAAAGAGCAGAGTGTTTAGAAGTGAACTTTAGACACATTGTACTTTACTATCAACAGGATCTCACTATTTCCTGAAACAGACAGGAAAGAATTTAAAGAATCAGGATCCATTTCAAAGCTCTACCCTGAGCAACATTTTTATTAGAGTCGGAATTTATTTCAAATGAATAATGAAATCTACCTAACCCCCTTTGCTAAGTGTGGATATGTAGTCTGACTGTAACTGAAATAATAATAATGCTAATGATTCACCATACATTGTCTCCAGAAAGAGTATAAAAGAGGAATCGTGAATAAATTCAGATGCAGAGCAACTAAAGCATGACATACCTCGCTCTGGGAAGCACAGAGGCAGGGAGACACTCGCCCTAGTTCGAACAAAATGTTCCCGGTTGTACATTTTCAACATAAGGCTCAAAAGGTTTATCAATTTAGGCTGTTTGGAACGCGAATTATTTGCCTTTAATTACATTAAACATGGCAGGAAATAAACTGAGGAGGAAACAAGTGAGCCTTAGCAAGACTGTTGTTTCCCGATGAGTCACAGTGAACTAGCAGTCAGACTTTTATCATCCACCAGACCATGCCTGTATATCAAATATCACAAAACCCAGAGTACAATGCAAGGGTCTCAAGGTAATGTTTGAACTGAATCTTCACCTAGATATGATCCTGCCACAGAGATCGTGGCTCACTCAGGGGCTTTGCTGCAAATTTCCCAAATTGGCATTAATAAGTATTCACTTGTGGAGTTCCGTGTAATCTGGTCATTTCAAATACCTCAGGAATCTGGAAAACCCATTTCCCCCACTAAATAACAACAATGACTGCACCTGAGACACAGATCTGTTGTTAGCTGCAAACCCATATTGACGACTAGGCGTAAGATGAATGTTAACCCATTCTTTAAAGTATCAATTATATTATAAGAGGTAAAACTACTGTAAAATACACTGTTTAATGAAAAAAAAAACAACCATCATGGATAAATTTTTTTTAAAAGTCTGAAAAAAATACTTCAAATATTAAGATATGGTAAGCCAGATCAATTGTAAGAAATGCTAGCATACTGGTTTTTCGTGTTCATTCTTTGATTCAATTTTAAATTGTTCGCTTTTCAACCACACATCTTAATTGTTCACTTTTCAACTATACATCTTAATATTTGGTAAGTACAACCATTAAAAACGTTTATCTGGTGCTCTACACATTCCGAGAAACTTCTCTAGTAACAAACTATAGAAATTATCCCTGAAAATATAGTCTGTAGGAAAGAAGAATACAGGAAAGAAGAATACAGACTAAAGGCCTGTAGAAAAGAAGTAATTTTATACTATTTTTTTTTAACAATACAGGCAAAGATGTTAGCAAGTTATCTTTACGGTTATCAGTCTGAGTGACCATTTTTATTTACTTCCATTTGAAAACACAATTGAGGGCAAGTAAGCTTCTTCAATCTGAAATGATAATGACCCATATCCAATTAATATTAGGTCTTAATTATGCATATGTCAGCTACCTTTACTACCAGAGAAACAGGTAGACCCACAGATCAGGCTCAGCAGGTCTCCAGGCAAAAAGAACGAGTCACAAGAGAGAGTCCACCATTTCGGTAGACCGTTATTATGTAGGAGATTTCGCGATCTTATTTGTAACACATGTTCTTTTCTGGTTTTAAATAACAGATTTCAACAACAGGCACCTCCCCCATTTCTACTGTATTCTTATTTTATGGGAAAGACATACTTTTTATTTAATCTTTACACTCCACAATTCTTAAAGCCACATGGATTGCTACACAGTAAATCAGCTTTCACAATTTTCCACAGATAATATGAAAAATAGATATTGATCATTTAAACTCTTTAGGGAATATTTTAGTGTAAAGTAAATCAGTTGATTTGCTGATACTATAATCTTCCATTCATCTTATGAATATACAAACCACCTCTATCCTGGTCTTGTGTTTTTTGGTGCTAGCAATATTAAGGCATCTTTCTTTTTGGTGAAAGATACAGATACCTAAGAAAAAAGTTGAATATAATGCAAACAGTCGCATGATAAGAGCGAAAAGTCATGTGTAAATTGTTTTGGGATTAATGCAGGGCAAGAAAGAAAGTTCTGTCTTGTGGATTCTGGGAAGATATCATAGCGGAGGTGACATTTAGACAGTCTCTTAAAGGATAAATGGGGAAAATTTGCAGTTGGTGGTATGCCATGGACAAAGTCTGAGCAGTATATGAGTCGTGAGTACAGGCAATGGTGAGCGGTTCTGGGATACTTTGCTTTTGAGTTCTTACAAAGTCTTTACAGCCATTCTTGATTTGTAGAAAGTACTAGATAAGTATTAGCTATCATCATCGTCACCATCATCATCAATATTTTCATTACTGACAGGTGGGAGAGGAATAACAGCAATGTGTCTGGAAGGGCAGGTTAGAAGCTATTTTGAAAGATGTTTTTTTATATTAGGCAAAACCTTTTATGCTTAAATTTCTAAGCAAAGGAAGCCAGTAAAGATTATTTAACCAGGAAGAATAAGGGTACTATTACTTACGCTACTTGTGCAGGTTTCTTGTTAGACACTTACTTTATTTAGTCTTCATATCCATTCTCAGATAAAAAAGAAAAACTTGCAACTCAAAGACTAATGACTTCTTTTAGGTCAAATGGCTGGTAAAAGGAAAACATCGTATCTATTTCTAGCTGTTTCCAGCTAGACTCCTGGGGTGACCAACCATTTGGGTTTTTCTGAGACCGAAGCGTTCCCCAGGATGCTGGGTTTTCAGCCTTTAAACGAGAAATTCCTTGGCAAACTGGGATGATTTATCCCCCCCCCCACTACTACTGTTACAACAATATTAGTCATTTACATCTATTGAACACTACATGTTGGACACTGTACTTCCGTTCCATTATCTTTTTTGATTTTTAAACTCGAGGGCTTAGGTATTAACTTTTTCCATTTAGTATATAAGCAAATTAAGACTCAAAGGAATTAATTTCATGGTGCAAATAAAACTAGTTAATTAATATCTTTCCTTAATAGTACATTAGGCATCATACCTTTTAAAACTTTGGAAACCTGGGCATAGATAGAATCGGACTTATTAAGAAACCGAATTGAAGGAAAAACAATTTCTTTTACTCTAAATCAATAAAGCAAAAGCAAAAATGTAGCTAAAACTTGCTGAAAGCTCTACCAAAGCTGTGAAGTAAATAATAAGTAGATAAAAAATCTCAAGGGACCAGTTATTACAGTTTTGAGGAGGTAAGTCAATTTCTTTCTGAAGAAGTCAACTTTCGTAGAGATTGACGGACTTCAAAGAAGATTACCAAGTGTGAGAAGGAAGGAGTTAGCCAGGATTATATGAAATCTACACTCCAGCAAAATCCATGAATAGAAAATAACAATAATATCCACACTGATCATTAGGTTCACTTTCCCAGGTCTCTATCATAAGGACTCATACAAGTCTAGAATGTTAAGAAATGGAAGCAACTTCAAAGTTCAGTGAGTTTCACTCCCTAATTTCACAAATGAAAAACGTTAAGACCAAGATGTTTATTAGTATCCTACAGAGCATACAGTCGGCACAATATGTTGGGAAAGAGAGTGGATATAAACGTAGTCCCATGCCCTAATTCTCTGGAACCTGTCAATATGTTACCTTACTTGGGCAAAGGGTTTTAAAGAAGTGATTAAGGTGTAGGACTGTGAAATGGTGGAAATATCCTAGATTATCTGGACAGGCCCAGTCTGAACACCTGAGTTCCTGAAGACAGGAGAGGCAACACAGTAGATCAAAGGAACTCCATATGAAAAGGATTCCACCTGCCTTTGCTGCCTTTGAGGATGGCATACCGAGTTTATAAACTAAGGAGCACAGTGGTGTCTAGAAACTGGAATGACTCTGTTTCAGGAAGCAGGAAACAGGGACCTCAGTTTTGCAACCGCAAGGAACTGAATTCCGCCACCAGCTTGAATAGTGGGAAAGGTATTCTCCACTAGAAACTCAGGAATGGAATGCATTCCACCTTGATTTCAGTCTAATGGCATCCATACTGGACCTCTCACCTACAGAACTGATAATAAATTTGTATTGTTTTAAGCCACTAAATTTGTGGTAATTTGTTTCAGCAGCAATAGAAAACTAACACAAAGGGGATTCATATTTACTGACTTACAGTTTAAAAAAACACTTTAAGCTCCTTATCAAATGTACTCAAAAGGTGTAAAACAGCTTCTTAGATTAACATTAAACCTACGTTGTCATTCCACAATTATTAGATATACTAAATGTTCTTGTCTTAAAGTACAAGAAAATACATAGTGGTGACTGTAATAATTTCCACTTCTACAATTAAGTATTTAAAACATTTCATGATTTACTGTTGACCTTATAGTCGAGGCAGAACAGAAAGGATGTTACTTTCCTTGGAGTCGGATGACCTAGGTTTGAATCCTACTATGTGCTATGGGCAGGCTCCACGACTGGGAAATCACTTAAACCTGAATGTCGTGAATTGCAGATTACACATGTGTAAAATGGGGACAATGGTTTCTTTCTCAGGAGACAGTTGTCTAAATCAACCAGCACAGTGTTTAGTACATTGTAGATGCATGTAACACTTCTGCTAAATAGCTACATGAAGAAATAAACTGAAAATGTACAAAAAGCAT